ACCGATAACAAAAGATAAATACAAGTCACATTTGACTTCTGCAATTACAAAAGGTGCTCAAAGTGGTTACCATCAGTGTCCAGACACTTCTGATTACGGTGAACCACTACTTGAGCAACGTTGACTAAAGTGTCCACCTGTATACATTTTGGGGCACCCCCAGTATATCCTTAAACAAACAAGCAAAAAAAATATCCTTTAAGGTAGACTAAGTGACTATTTCTTCTTTGCTTCAAAAGAAATTTAGTAACTAAAATTTCTCTAATTCAGAGTTTCTCAACCTGGGCACTATTGACATTTGGGGCCAGACAGTTTTTTGGTTGTGGGGGAGGGGCCGGTCCTGTGTATTGTTGGATGTTGGGCAGCATCCCTGGCTTCTGCCCATTAGATGCCAGTAGCACTGTGCTCCAGCCCCCTGCCCATTATGATAACCAAAAATGTCTCCAGACACTGTCAAGTGTCCCTTGGCTGTTGGGGGTGGAGGGAGGCAGACATCTCCATTTCCCACCCCCTCCTGAATCAATTCTGTAACTGCATCCCAAGCCTACCTCCTCTGGCCTCCTTGAGGACCAAAAGATAAAAGCAGCAGTTTATTCCTAGCAACATCACAGCCCTCCCTCCCTCTCTTCTCCAGGCTAAATAAAGATCGCTTTTTTAGTCTTTTTCCTAGAGTCTGTTTCACAGATATTAATGGCGACATCTAAAGATGAAACTGGAACCATTTGGTGGAGAGGGACTCTGTGCTCTCAACTCTACTTATTTATAGAGATGGGGAGGGCAGACACATCCCTGCAACCCATGACAGCGGCAGCTCCCTGGTCAAGGAAGGGGCACCTCAAGCTCAGTGCTGGGACAAGCCCATTCTTCCCATGAGCTGGTTCAGGCCTGCTGAGTCAACAAACTTCTAATTTACAATAATAATAATAATAATAATAATAATAATAATAATAATAAATAAAGAGAGGGAAGTGATCCTTCAAGGCCATCAGCCTCGGTCTTTTCCCATCTCTCTGAATGTTCCACCTATTTCTGGATTTCTCCACTTGGTATTCTCACAGACACCTCACACTCAAACTCACCTTCTCGTCTTCCTCAAATTCATGCTTTTGCCAGTGTTGTTGTTGTTGTTGTTTTAATTAGTTTCTCGAATCAGAAGCCTAAGTAAGAGTTATCCTCTGAAACAATGTAAAAGGAAGAGACGGGTAGAATAGCCTGGAGAGGGAGACAGTGGCTAGCTCACGGAGGACTTTGTGTGCTGTGCGAAGGCTTTTCAATGTTCACGGCTGCCTCCCTTTTCTCATCAGCCACTTCCTCATTAACTTCCCACAGTTTGCCACTGACACTCTCAATTTTCTCTTGAAAGCTCCCATCATATTCACAAGTCCCATCCATGGGGAGGGGTATATGTATAGGGAGTGTACACCAGAGGGGGCAGATGTCTCGGAACATCTTAGAATTCTACCTACCACAGCCCATAAGTCTGTATCCTACTATCTCCTTTCAAATACAACATATTCAAAATGAAATGTTTTCCCAAATTGACTCCATGTTTCAACTTCGCCATTGAAGGAAATGAGGCAATGGTAGAGACTGTTAGCTTTCCTCCAGTATCCAAATTCCTCTTCTTTTATAGAAACAGAATCCACTTCTACCATAAGGGTATCATAGAATTTTTAGCCGGGTGCGAGGCCACTTAGAAAATAAAGGCAACACTCCTTAGCTTCCTTGCAAGTAGGTGTGGCCATGAGACCAATTTTTGGGCAATGGAATATAAGTGACAGCTACAAGGAATCACCTTCAAGAGACTGTGGACCTTGCCTTTTGCCAGTTTTTTATTCCTTTCTCTGTATGGATGCTGAAACCCAATGGCCACCAGCCAGTACCATGAGAATAAAGACCATGAGAATGGCAGATGAGTGAGCTGTCAGGAGCCTGATTCTCCAAGGGCTCTGGCATGGAGAGAGCTGCCTTCCCAGCTTTGAACTTTATACCTCTGGGCTTTCAAATGGTAGAGAAATACACTTCTATTTTGTTTAAGCCATTATTGATTTGCATTGTCTGATACTCAGAGTTAAATATAATCCTATCCAACCCAGGGGTTGTTGCCTTAGTCCCACTAGACTTGAAAGCTTAAGTTTATTTTTCTTCCCTCAATCCCTCTAAGCTCTTTTGTCCAACAAGGCCCTAAATCCTGTTGATTCTTCCTTTGCGCTTCACCTCACACTCATCCCCTCTTGAATTTCCGCTGCCTGCTTTGATCCTAGACTGTTCTCTTGGCTCCATCTCCCTCCTTCCCATCAAGGCTACACAACCCCCAGATTCCTGAGGTCTCACATTCATCATGTCACTCCTCAGCCTCAGACTCCAAACCTGAGATCCTGTTGTGCTTAATAGGATGGAACCCCAACATTTCACCCTGTCATTAGACCATTCCATTGCATCATATAGCCCAACCTTTTCAGCTTCTCCTCCCTCCCCAACTTCCAGGATAGCCCCCCAAACAACTCATTTTGTCCTTCACTTTATGATAGGGATTGTCAGCCCTGGCTGCACATGAGAATCATCTGGAACCAATGAACATGACCAGTGCCCAGTGTGTTAAGGCATTACCTAACGTCAGCCACAAAGCAGCCCCAGGGCATGTAGGTACTGCCATTGTCACCATGCTACAGATGAGAAAGCCAAGAAACTTGCAAGTTCAGGACATTGTTCCTGGTCAGATGGCCAGTGAGTGGGAGCCAGGATTCCAACAGAAAGGGCTGCCCTCCAAACTACTACTGTGTAATCCCTTAAACTATGTCACAGATTATTACAAATTAAAGATAATTTCCCATAGCATGGCACATAATTAATTGTTAATAAATCACAGAGTACAAATGAAAAATTTTAAGAATACAGTGCCTGGTCCTCACCCCAGACCAATCGAATCTGAATTTCTTGGGAGTGGGGTCTGAGTATCTTTATATTATCTTTAGAATGAGCTCAGGTTTATCCCAAGGTAATTTTAAAGCACAACTGGGTTTGAGACCCACTGCTTTACATAGTTGCTCCACCTATCTGTCTTCCTCTCATTCTCTCTCCACACCCCAGGTCCTGTTATCTTTTGGGGTTCAATCTAAGTGTCAGATTTGTGGAGCTGGCCAGCTTTTTCCAGCCTGAGTGCCCCCGTTTCTGAATGTTGCTTGCGAAACTTGTCCACAGCAGCTGAGTTGGCACCATTGTACCTCACAGTGTGAATCCAGCTCTTGGCTTTATGCCACTGGATCCTTGGCAGGTTTTCCAAATTTCATCCTTTGCTGCTCAACTCCCTCCACCTCTGCCCACAAGAGCAAAAAGCACAATTGTGCCTCTATCAGAAGTAAGACCTGAACTTAGGGTTCCGCAGGGTCATAACCTTGGCTCAGCGCCCCCCTCCCAGGGACTGGAAGCCAGTAGCGTAGGTACCTCCATCGCAGTGGATGAGAGGAATGTGGATGAGGGCTTTCCAGGACTCTCAGCTGCAGATCTGGACATTGGCAAGACGATGATAGGGATGATGGCTCCTTTAGGAGACAGGTTGGACATGTAGACTGGGAAGTGCTGAGAGCAAAACCTGGGCAAGGCCTGGGATAAAATTTGGTGGTCAAGGAACAGGAACTGAGAGGGGAACAATTCAAGCACAAGTGGCATTGGACCAATTGAGGCTGTTGAATGACTGAATAAATGGATCTCCACCTGTGTTGTTAGGAAGAATGTAGGGGGCTGTGGCATCCTTGTTTGGTACAGGAGGCTGCCAGAGAAGCAAGACTGAGAAGGTGTCGAATGGAGGGCCTATTGGGGAGGAGAAGACCTACGGCCACCTGAGGCCCGGCCAGTCAGAGGCCAAATCTCACGAGAGCAACCTACCCTGCTACCTGCCCCCCCCCATTTACAGCCCCCAGGTTCAAGGGTCATAAGAACTGTTGGATGGGCCAGTTTCCACTGAAGCCAAGGGTGTGGCAAAGTCTCCATGTCTGTGCTGACAAATCTGCTTGATTGTATCATTCCACCAGGATATTGAAGCAGGTGGTGAAAAGAGGGGGTGTCACTGCCTTGAGTTACATGGTGACTTAATGGCCGTGCTTGGATTAGAAGCCAGTCTCCTCATTCCTAGCCCGGGGCTCTTTCTTCTTGACTCTGTTGCCAGGTCAGTCACTTGGCTTTTGTAGGGCTCAGAACAATGCCTCCAGTGGTGGTGGTGGGGTGGGGGTTGGGGGGCTTTCCTTCTGGCCTATCTGTGTTCAGCAGGAGATCCCTGGTCTTCTCTGATGGAGCCTGTTCTTGCAAACTAAGCAGGGCTGAGTGGGACACAGAGCAGCCTCTGGGGAGACAGTCTGGCAGACCCCTCCCTCATTCACTGCCCTTCTGGTCTCCATGGGAGGCCTGGCATGAAGATCAGTTCAGGAATGGGACCTGCTGCCCATGTAATTAACAACATCCTGACCTTCCCAGGCTGGGGCTGGAGGGAGAGCTCAAGGTCCATTCCGGAGTGTGATGGTATTGGACAGGCCAGCCAAGGTGCTCAGCACATCAAAGGACTATTTCCATGGAACTTGCCATTCCTATAGCTCTGCTGAGGGCAGCCATGACCACTTTGGTTCAGGTCATCCCCCCACCCCCACCCCCACCCCCACACCGCCGGATCCCACTCCAGCCCAGCTGACCTGGCCAATGGGGGATGTTGGACCCAAGGGTTGTAGATCTTTGGATGTCCCAGGAGCCTAGAGGTGGCCTGGGTCAGAGGCTCTGGCTAACCGGGAACCCTGGTACTTCGCTGGATCTTCAGATCCTCCTCCCCTTCTTAGTAATTTGAACTGGAGCTGTGGGAAGAGAGCCAGAAGGAAGCAGGGACTAGTGAGCTGCTGAGCAGCCTTGAGGCAGCATGCCAACCTGGGACCTTGCAGCTTCTGCTGCCTCAGGGCTGCAAGACAGCCCAGGCAGTCAACAGAGCCCCTGGGTCCCAAACAGGCTTTCAGGACCCCCCTTGCATCCCTGTCTTTCAACATTAACTATGCTGGCGGTAACCCCGAGTGTGGCTCGGGGTTAATTTTCACTGCCAGAAGCGGTAATCCCGAGACTCACTCAGGATTACACTGCAGTGTCCCAGAGAAGTCCCTTACCTGCTCCCTGCGATCCTGCGGTGTCCTCCTGTGATTGCCGACAAGAACACCGGCCGATGACAAATTGCAGTGTTTTTTATTTGATTACATTATTGAATAAAATTATATTATTTTTTATAATTATTTATTATATTATAATTTATGATTTTGTGTTTCAAACTTTATCATACCTGGGATGCCTA